TCACTGTTGTTTACAGTACAGCATATGGCTCTAGCCCTCGTCTCCGTTCCCTAGAATGCTTTGCTCCGTGGTGGGCAGAGGAGTCACCCAAGGCTCGGCTTTGCTCTATTCTAGCCAAGGATCTCTAAGATCTGGTAACACCTCAGTCCCATAGGGGGTCCCCAGGGCCAGCTGTGTTTTCAGTTCATGTCAACCATACAGAATGTCAGCCAGCCCTTAGAGTGGAAAAAAGAGCTGGAAACACAGATGATGGTGGCAATGGTCACTACAGAAAGGGAGTGGTATCTGATAAAACAGTAAAAAAAGGTCTGTAAATAATCTTAAGACAATAAAATTTTAATAACTGTCTTTAAATTTATTTAAAATTTTCATGCTAGCATTTAGATTTTTATTCCATTTTTGAGATATCAACAAAAAAAAAAACTTTCTTTGATTCATTACTTTTACCTTTATCATCTCAGATACTACAAAATACAAAAAAACTGAAAATTGACACTGTTATTGCCCAGGAAATATACAATACAGCAAAAACATGTTGACCTTTTATGATAGCAGCACATTTTGTGCGATATTGCATTTGGGGGAAAAAATGGGAATGGAATGGAATCATCAAGACACTAATAAGATTCCCAGAATGCATATGAAATAAATATATGCTTACATGAGGTGGATATTGTATTCAGTACAAACACAGGAATATGCAGGAAAACAAATGTACTTTATAAATGCATCAGAGAAGTCATGTGATTTTGCTCAAAAGTCATGTGTCTGAATAATTTGCTGAAATTATTGGTTACTATGAGCTCCCTAAACTGTCTGAACATGATAGCTTTGTTGTGTTCTTGAAAAAATAAATTCTGATTAACTCAAAGTACGTTTTCAACTTGGATGGAAACAACTATTGATCCCAAGAGCTGGCCAGTAATATTAATACAACAAGGTTTCCTATTTTTGAACTTTTCAATCTGCCTATATGGCACACACATTTCCAGGTCAAACTTTTTTTTGAAAATAAAGTATCTGTGGCAACCTGTGCAACGAGCAGAACACAAAAGATCCCTCATTCATCCTCAGGTGACCCATATAGGGCTTTGTAAGGGTTTAGTGTCCATGGCAGATGCTGCTCCACCACACATTTTAACCCAGGTGCAAATCACCTGTTCCCAGGGACTGCACTGCCCGAAAAAGAAGAACCACAGTCTTGTTTGATAGCCTGGTGGCCCTGACCAGCAATAAACACAGCAGTGTGCTGGCGGATCTCACCACAGGTACATGGACAGAGATCTCCTTTCATTAGAGGGTCAGTGGGTGGGCTATCCACTGACTGTCTCCTCTATGGAGAAAGAAGCTGTGCTAGCTGCTGATCTAGATGCTGGCCAAAATCTTCTCTGAACCGTTTGAAAATAAACTACAAAGACATACAGTGGACATTTCAAGTGCTACAGTCTGGCAAAAACAACTTCCTGAGCTTCTTGCTCTTATTAAGAGGTGTTTGTATCATGTCAGATCGGTATTTACATAATGTTGTAACAAACTACAGCTACCTTAGAAACACAGAAAACGTACTGCAAAGTCTTGACTACAACAAAACTATTATTGCTGAGGAATAAGATACAGCTCACTGAGCATGTAACAACACTATCAATAATCTAAATTTGTCTTTAAATAGACACGTATAATATTTTTGCTGCAACATTTAAGCGATAAATTAGTCAAACCTTAAAATGAATCCCAAAGCAAGCCATTAAATAGCAAATATACAAAAGCGTTACAAATGGCGTTCTGCGTTACTGTCTTCAGCGTCACAGCAAAAGAAATCATGTCTTACCTGAGTTGTGAACGTAAATTACAGTAGTTGTCTGTATTGAACGTGATGCAAAAAAAAAAAAAAAAGAAACTACATGTAAAAGACATACTTGTAGCCTATAGATTTATTATATAATATGAAATGTTTCAGCTACGTTTGGACAAAAAAATAAATAAATTAAATAAATAAAAACTGAAAATGCCTGAAAAACACGGTGGCCGAGAGAGCTCAACGCTCTGCAAATTAAAAAAAAAAAAAAAACACCTG